CTGAAATTCCACATCATCATCAACATAAGGGATGGCGTCAGTCAAACACCGGGTATGATCGGTTATCCCCTCGAACCGGTAACACTACAAGAGATCTGACATGAGTTTTAAGCTTCGAATCAATTTGGGACAGTGGCTCAGGCTATCATACCATGCACAGCCGCTTGTGCCGGGAGCTGACAGGTCTAGGTGGGTAAAGCGGCATGCATAAAAACATCGAGATGCAGACACACAATCCAGCAGACGGACTGACAAATAGACAAACTGCGCTCATTGAATCACCAGCTCATCCATTCGGTCGTTCGGTTGGTTGGTCCATCGTTGATTGATTCACTCAGTTATTCCTTCATCCTGGACATGTGTGCATGTGCACGCGTGGTTCTGAGTTCTAATGGACACGGAAGGGAGTCGGAGGGAGCGGGAGAGGAGAGTCGTCGTTTTTGTTTCCGGAGGCACGAACGAGACTCAGCTCAGCACTCTCAGGCGGACGCCCAGCATGAAAAAGAAGGAAGCTCTGTCTCAGCTGTCTCTGACATGGGTCCTCGGGACCCTTTTTAAGGAGACTATGTACTCTCTTCTGAAGTGCGGTGGCAATGCTGCCCTCGTTGTACCCCAAACTGAGTGGCAACGGAGCACGACGAGCGTGTTTGAAATTCTGAGAGTGCTATGGCCTTCAGAACTGAGGAAGGTGATTTGTCAATGGAGCTTCCGAGCCGATCCCGATCCAAGGCAGGAAGACTTTTGAGCCGGTTTCGAAACAGGGGCCAGGCCCAAGCCGAGTTTTCTGCCAGCGCTGTCTCGGGAAGCCTAGGACAACGCATTCACACTGCACACTGTAATAACGAGCAGCAACTCCACTTGTAAGCCGAATGTGGACTCGCGGGCCACATTCTGCACGGAGGTATCTGCGATGGGCTGGGCAGAATTCTAAGGCCCAAGCCTGTTGGGCCTCGGAAGCCAGCCAGCGACGGGCGCTGTAGGGTTCCCCATGCCAAGGCCTTGAGAGAGGGACTGCACAATGCGCTGCAGCACAGTTGACGCTGTCAAAATAGTCAAAAGAGTTAGACTCCTTGAAAGACCTGTGCCACTGGCTCCTTTCTGTGGTTTTCAGTTCCGCCTGTTTGCCAGGCCATGCCGAGTGACACCGAGCAAGCTCCAGCCAGGCAAGAACCGAACCGTTCCTCGATGCTTCCTCAAGCAACCCTAGTGGCCCTATTGAGAAGACGAAGGTCGCTAATCCTCGACGGCATCCAAGAACGGCAAACCCCAATCCGCATCGTGATGCTCGTAGCTCAGCGGCCGACCCCTCGCGGCCAGGCGAGCGACTTCCCTGCTATGAGCAGCAGCAACACCACTTCAGAGAGAGCTCCAGTGAAAGTCCAGCAAGGAAAAGGCACAAAAATGCCAGCACACACGGATGCACCTGGCCTGTCCTCGCTCCTGCTCCAGCCGGCCTCGGACGATTCAATCCGTGTACTCTCGGCTTACCTCTGAAAGACTTGTGACACTCCGCGATTCGGAAGCCATGTGCCGCTGCCGTCGTTATCGTCGATGATGTCGATGAGCCGAGAAACGCAAGGACGAAGAAGCGAAGAGGGGAGTGAAGAAGCTGACACTCGTTTCTGGCGGTTGGAGGAGCCGCAAGGGAGAAGCTCGTTTCGGACACATTCGAGTCTCACTTCGTCCTCGTCGAAGACTTAAGAGAACCCCCTGCAAGTGCGTCAACTGTGTGCCGACACAATCATCGAGGGATTGTTGACTAGTTGTGCTGAGCTCAGGACGGAGAGCCTCCATTCGCGGCCTGGGTCACAGACCGCTTCGAGGTGCGTCCGGCGCCGCAAAAGGCGAGACCCGCGCGGTAAGGAAGCGGAGCGCAGAAGCTCCAGGCTGCGCCTGCTAAGCAGATCTTAGAACGCTGGCCGGGGCCCCCTGCCGCGCTGAGCTGCCGACGATCGGCATCGCGTGTGCCTTGCCTCCCTCTCTTCCAGCAAGAGCTGCTCCTTGGCCGCCGCGAACCCAGCGTCTTCTGCCGTCTGCTGAGTTTAAAAAAGCATGTTGAAAAACATGCGACCTGCTTTGCACCTTCAGGCGAAGCGAAGGGAGGAAGGTTTGCCGAAGCTGCTCAAAAGAATCGGCCATGGCGCATACATGGGTGTTGAGACGCGCCAGGGCACGGGCCTCGCCTCGGTTGTCAGGGACTGCGCCTGCACTGTGACTCTTTCGCTTGGAGCCAGGCCCGAAAAGGAGGCTCCTCTCGATCTCGCAAGACCGCCACACCTCGGGGGCCCTCGGCGGAGCGACTCCGTCCCTGGCACCGGGAGAGGGAAGTCAAACGCCACAGACTCCACAGCAACTGCGTGTCCTGCATCCGTGGGGTCAGCACCCCCACTGGAACAGGTTTGGCACGAAAAGGCAACACCTCCAACGTGTTGGGCAGTCGCACTAAGCACAACAGACGTCTTGCAACTGCTTATCCAACCTGAAACTCTTCTTTCAAGAGTCCGCGCCGAAACATTGCTTCGGGTTGCTCGCGAATTCGCTCGCCTTGACCTGAGTGCAAGAGCAACGACACGGATCCAAGCCAACGCGGAAGCTCGGGCCCCTTCGCTGGTCCCAGTAAGAGTCCCTCATCAAGAACCGCGGCCCTGCAGAGAGAAGCCCGCGAAGGACGCGAAGCCATTTCAATGTGGGGACCCCGTTTGCCACCTAGTGTACATCACCCGCTGGCATACTAAGCGACGGTTCGCCGTGTCCGCTGCAGCAGTTTTCTCGGGAGGCATGCACTCTTCAACTCATGCCCCTGCAAGCCGTCGCAACAGGGACGAAGAGTGAGTGTAGGCTTTGGCCAAGGACCGCAGTTTTGCTGGCGTGCCTTCAGCATTAGTTGGATGGTTGAGACCTCAGCACTTCCAGCGTCATCCGGACAAACCGTCAGCACCCTCACTCGGTTTGCACTTGCATGTACACAGGTCTGAGCCCCTAACGGTCCAGGTCCCGGTCACGGACATTGTGCAGCTTGGGAGGAGAAGTGTCAGGAAGCCTACCATGAAACAATACTGGTATCCGCGGACGACTGCAAGGTCACGACTATCCTGAGGCGAATCACCTCTCCGCCAAGCGCACAGGTCCTTCACAGAGGCACCAACTTTGTAAATGTGTAAGTCTTTATCGAGTTCTGACCGCGCATGTTCCAAGACAACAGAAGTTGGGAGCTCTCCGAAAAGCGTGAGAGAAGCTTGCGTCGAACGAGCAGATCGTCCTGCGTCCAGCGCCAGCCGTTCTTGCACGGAAAGATCGAAGCCTGCGAGAGTCAGCGAAGCGTGTACGTCAGTGTCTGCGCGACATTCTAATAAAATAGGCAGCGGCCATATTCAGCTTCTGCAGCGCGGATCCGCGCCTGCATTCACATCCCGTGCCTGGACATCCATGTGCCTCCGGCACCGCAACCCTCAATCAACGCTGTCCTCCAGCTGTTCCCGTGGTGACGATGCGGGGGGCCGACGAAGCACTGGACCTCACCCAATCGTGAACATCCCAAATCAGCATTGGGCACACAGATCTGCACAGGTGCGGTGTTGCTGGCATGCATAAATCCAGACTATATATCTGCAGAAGCTTGCTGCTTCATCACCGGTGCGACTTCCCGATCGACTTTTGGCAGGAGCGACGCGTCATGCTTTGGATGCGGAGATGGCTTCGCATGCACGGGTGACTAGAGCCTTCGTAGAGTTCGGTGCATTTCCGGTAAATAGCCGGGAAGATGCATCCTCGCAGATCTCTCCGGGCTTTCTGCGCTCATAGCCGTGAACATCGCGAAAGCTCATCCATGCTCCATAGTATGAGATGAAAGGTCCGACCTTGCCGTCGGGTGGATGAAGCCACTTCGAACCAATCAATGCTTCAGGCCCATGGCAGACTGCTGCTGCAAAGGGCGCAGAGTCCAGGATTGCAGTCACCGAAGGATCTTGCATCATGTAGTATGGACATTGGCCACCCGCTACAAAAACTCCATCAAACTGTAATGATTTGTCCACCAGATTTGCTGGCATCGTCGGCAGCAGGCAGCAGCAGTCTTTCAGTGCATACATGGCATTACCCCATACGGTTTCTGATCGAACTTGTCTAATGCCGGCCTCTGTTTCGGCACTGCGGCTGATGAGATGAACGTTGAACTTCACGTTGACCAGATGGTCGATGATGGTGTAGGCCTGCACGGGCCACACGAATGGCAGCAGAGCTTAGGCGCCATCCCATGAAGGGATCGGCCCCACGATGTCAAAATCTGCCCTGCCTCGATGGGATCTGCCACGTCGTCCACGAAAAAAGCGACCCGCGGGGCCGAAGCATCTCCGCTCAGGCAGCTCCTGCGGCACTGAGCTAGATGCAGGGCAGGAGACCCTGAAACCACAGTCAAAATACAGTGCGGCGTTCGCAGAAAGAAAGACGCGTGCACTGGGGTCAAATGGGGCCAAGTTGCCCGGACATGCCGTCCAGCTTCGATGCATCGAAATAGAAGGCCGTCTCGGAACTGCCCAATCTCTGGACTCTTCCAGAGCTGGAGAAGCTGCTGTCCATTCCGGCTGCTAAGCCCACAGCGGCAAAGAATGGTTCCGCTGTGTCCTTTCCCCAGTAGCTGGCCGACACCAGTTCCACCCCCTTCGAAGCAAAGCAGCACACTTTTGCTCCATCTGCGCTGGGCTGCAAACCGTTGATGGCCAAGAGATGCTCTTGTTTTGGAAAGACAGCAGCCTGAAATCCGGAAAAAATCGACCTCTCCTCTCCTATTGCCAGAATCACGTCCAGTCCATGGCCGATGGTCGCAAATCGTGTGCCCAGCTCAAAATGCTTCTTGACAACTTGAGCAGCATCACCGTTGTCTGCCATGAGTGTTGCGTTCAGTGTGTGTGGCATCAGGCCACCTGTCAGAAATATTGTGGCCAGCTTGAACTTATCTCCAATGGGGATTGTGCCAGCATGCTTGCTTTTGGGATCAAACTGTTCCCTTGGGACTAACGCCGGAATGCCTTCCTCAGTTGAAGAAGGAACGTAGTTCACTCGATGCCATATACGAAACCCTTCCCAACCTGGGTCGAGTCCTTTCTGCTCTGCGACGTGCTCAAAATCATTCAGTGCAGTAAAATGCCACCCACCATTGAAAGGCGGGGGAGCTCCTATGAAAACATACTGTTCTTGGCACAATTCCAAGCGCTCCAAAAGCATCCCAATCTGCATGCTATCCCCCTTGAAGTCCACTAGGATTCCATGGACTGGCCTTGACCAGTCAACTTGAGAATGCTGAAACCCAGAATAGAAGTGGTTCTCAACGCCCAGTCCCACACTCGCGGTTTCTTTGCGACTTTTGAAGGCTTGGAAAAGCTCAGCCGCGGCAGGTTGTACCGGAGCCTTGCTGGCACCGATTCCATGAATCTCCATGACTTTCTGGGCCTCCTTCTCCAGCTCATCCATCTTGCCAGCATCCGACATGGCACGAAGATGGGCTCTCAGGATGTCTCTAAGGCCTCCTAGTGTCCGAGGACATAAAACCTGGTCTTGAGGGAGCGGCCATGTGAAATCCCTGAACGAACGGATCAGGTGGTTTCTAGGACCCAGAGGTGAAGAGCCCAAGAGCTGAGAGCCCGGCCTCCAGGTCCCTCGCCGCCTGCGCCCGGGCTCGACCGCAGCGGTGGGACCAACCCGTGGCCGCCGTGGCCGCCGTGGCCGCCGTGGCCTTGCGGCCCAGGCCGAGGCTGCCCGGCCTTGGTCGCGCAGAAAAGCGGGGAAGCGGGTGGGCGGGGGGCGGGGCGGGGGCCTTCGGGTTTGCCAGATCTCAGCACTCAGCGGACCATGATGTGGACCACCATGCTACTGAATCTCTTAGTCTTACTTGCCTGCATGGCCACACGAGCTTTCCGGATCCGCTCTCCAACAGCAGCTCTAAGGAGATCCAAGACTCTGGCATGAGGACGTGAGTCTCCTCAACAAGTGATAGCAACAGCTTGAGGGAAAGATGAGAAACCTTGCTGCACTCTTGCTGATACTGCTGCTACCGTGTACTAATGCTTCCAGTTTTCTGTACGTCACTCCAGTCAGCGTGGGGATGCTAATGCTGGTGAGAGTGGCGATGATGGCCATGCTCATGACAAAAGAACACAAGAGAGCGATGAGGATGGTGATGACGGTGATGACGGTGATGACGGTGATGATGGTAATGGTGATGGTAATGGTGATGGTCATGGTGATGGTCATGGTCGTGAGGATGGTGATGATGGTAATGGTGATGGTCATGGTGATGGTCATGGTCTTGAGGATGGTGATGATGGTGATGATGATGGTGATGATGATGATGGTAGTTTTGATGATGGTGATGGTCATCGTGATGGTCATGAGTCACGGTGATGGTCATGGTCATGGTCATGGTGATGGTCTTGGTGATGATTATGGTGATGATGATGGTGATGATGATGATGATGACGATGACGATGACGATGAAGATGATGATGATGATGATGATGATGAGGATGGAGAAGATCCTGATGAGGTGGAAGACGATGATGACGATGCCGCCCTTCATATGGACATGATTCTGAACATGATGGCAAGAAATAATCATCCGACCGGCCGTTGCAGGTAACATTGAAGCTGCTTTACGAGCAGCGCATGTTGCAACAAGCAGAATCACCGCTCTGTGCCGCCAGCTTCTCTCACGTGCTGCGACGGTGCCTCCTGGCTCGACTCCGGAAGAACCATCTACGCGGACCTGTCGAATCGCAATGGGACATGCCTCATGACATGTAGAGTAGTCATCATCATACATGCTGATCATCATCTGCAACAACAGCTTCAGCAAGGCCGCCGCCGCCACGTTAGCTTCGGCAACATAGCCTCTATTAGCCTGCTGGTAATAGCGGTGTCATCATAACCATCGTGAATGAAGACAGGCAAACAATAGCTGCTGTAGCCTCCACACAATGGCGTGAATGAAGGCGAGCATTTCGGAACAGGACCACATGAGAATGGATGTGCTCTTAAAGAGTACGTCATCATCCCCCCCACCCACCCACCCAGCCACCCCCGCCCTGCAACCCATCATCATCATCATCATCATCATCATCGTTTGTATTGGACTACAAATACCGAGTAAAATGGACGTGCTCTTAAACAGTGTTTAGGAGAGGTGGTTGGTAGGAGGGGCGCCTACTACTACCACTGCTGCTACTACTGCTACTACTGCTACTACTGCTGCCACTACTACTACTACTACTACTACTACTACGACGACGACGACCACTGCAACTACTGCAACTACAACTACAACTGCAACTGCAATTGCAACTGCAACTACTACAACTACAGCTACTACTCCTCCTCCTCCTACTCCGCTTCCTCCTACCCCTACCAACTACTACAGCCACTACCACCACCACCACCACCACTACTGCTCCTACTACTACTACCACTTCCACTACCACTCTACCACTCTCCCACTCTCCCACTCTACCACTCTACCACTCTACCGCTCTACCACTACCCCTACCGCCACCGCCACCACCACCACCACCACCACAGCCACAACTACAGCAACACGAGAAGAACCCGAAAACAACAACCACTATGCCAATGCTAAGGACTAACGAGGCAAACCAACGAAGAGCAAGCACGAGTAGAAACTGATGAGTGTTCTGATGCTGATGGCAACGAGAAAATTACATGAAAGTAAGCTGATATTCATTTTGGTGGGGATGATGATGGTCATTGTCGTCATGATGCTGATGATGATGACAGCGGTGATGGTAACGACGAAGAGGGCAGCAGAGGATCACACAAAAGTGAGGATGAGGCTGAAAACAATGATGCTGTCTTTATGCTGATGGAGGCGGTGGCGATGGTATGGCGATCTGGCTCGGGCAAGAGCTTATGCAGCTGTCTATATTTGCATAAGTGCCTCCAGGACAGGCTCCTGAAACAAAGCCCGCAGTCGATCTGCCTGCAGACGGGTACAGTTTGGGAAAGCCGTGCGCGGCTCTTCCGGTCGCGCCTCACGGTCCAGCCGCTGCTGGAGCTCTTGCGCACTGATGCCCTGCTTAGACAGAAGCAAGGCATGGGAACCTGCTTGCGGACTACAAGCAGACTCCGCCTCAACAACAAACTCGAGGTCCAGCGAACCTCGCCTGCACACACGATCCACATACCTCTCTATGTCCTCCCCACTGTGACATGTATTTCGCGAGGAATCGTTGCCTGATGCGTCCCAGTTGAATTTCGGACGCAGGCAGTCCGAGAACCTTTCCGGAACTGACATCCATTTTTGCTTGCCACGGCCCTTGATTGGCTGGGCTGCAGGCAGTCGATGCAATCTCCTGGCGACAGGGAGATTACAGGAGAGCTGCTGCACAGGCAGTTCCAGCTTTCGTCTTCTGGCGGGGCTACCAGTTTTGCATCGGCTTTCTTAGAACAGGCTTCCTCAGGAACTGCGCAGGTTATATTCGGTGCTGTGAATTCCACCTAGCCTCGCGCCAGTGTTGCAGCTGCGCTGCTGCATCTTCCCTCTCGAAGAAAGCATCAAAATCCGTCTCGAGGCGGACACCCATCGAAGGCTGAACCTCGATGACTGTCTGTAGTGAACATGTAACTCCCTCGTCAGAGTGACCAGGACTTGCGATGGACTCTGAGAATCCGGCGCCCTCATCTGTGACGGATGCCGTCGCCATGGCAAACTACGTCAGCTGAAGTTGGAGGCAGGGCCCGTATTGTCGCCACAAGCATTTTCGCGGTGACTGATGCGTAGGAATCTTGTTTGTCCACAGTCTGTCAGTTCTGCTACCTGACTCCTTGCTGCTCAACGCTGGAATCACATCGGCAAGCGAGGACGGGCGGTTTGCTCCAAGTCTGGAACTACCCTAACCTCCATGTATTTTGAGTGCTTTCGGGATTATGCCACAGATTTCCTGTCAGAAACTGCTACCTGCTGTGCTCTGTGACCTAGAATGCGAAATGCCGATACCGAGTTGCTAGATGATTTTCTCTCGGCACATCTGCCGCGAGGCATTCACGTCAACAGTACAGTTTCCAATTCCTCTCCGACACCGACAACCACAACCAGAACTGCCGCACGCCTTTTCTTCGCAAGGTGAGACTGGAGCATTATCATGGCAGCCAACAAGAGTGGTGCCGGGCAAATATAGCCACCCAAAGCGCCCACTATGAGAAAAATCACTGCCCGAATTTAGTCAGATCTTTCAATTGGGTGCAAGTCATGTTTTCTCAAATGAAGCGCTTACATTTGCAGGGACCATGCCGAGGAAAATGATCCTTCAGCACTGATTGCAACCCCTTTGGTGTCAGCATTGCAGCTGTGCGGATTTATGCACATACGGTGTATATAACCCCTGGCTGTGGTCTTGCACCATCTTGCCATCACTATCATCTGTCATCACTGCAGTATTGTTCAAGTGCTGCCGGACCGAGCGGCCGGTCTGTCCCCATTTTGGGGATTTGGAATCTTGGGACAATCTAGGATGCAGATCACGTTACTCTGTGTCCTTTATTCGGTACGGTACACTGGTGCTTGCCCGAGCTTTTCGCTTCCTTGCAAAGTCTTGGGAAGTTGGAGTCACGTCAGTCTCGACAGTTTAATCTCTGGCACGCTTGCATCCAAGGAACGCTGCTCGATCTCGAGGCCCAACACTGCTTGCCTCCGTGTGTGGCCGAGCTCCGGCAACGGTCCTTCGTGCCCTGCCGTGGCCAAGGATTGGACGCTGGCGCTTCCTGCCAGTATAGACGGTATAGAGTTTGCAGCACATCACATTCTACGAGGAAATATGTGCATGCAAGACACAACGTTGCAGATGGAAAAACATCAGGATCCATAATGTAGGCCACGCGGCACAGTAAACACGATGGGCATCTGCTTTCGTGCATTTGCGAGAACCGTGCGAAACTCCTGCGTTCAAGACAGTTGACAACTGGCAGCAAGCATTGCCCGACACATGCTGGACCGGTATGCAGAAGCCTGTGATCCTGTCCTCCCGGGTGCCGACACTACGACCATTCACGGCCACGATCTCATCAAAGAGATGCCACCCCACATCAGCAGCCTGCCAAGCCGTCTACGCAACACCAAGCACAGGAGTTTCTGCTATCGGCATGTCGAAAGTGATGCTACTGCCTCTGCTGAATTCAGATGTGCTTGTCCATTACACGGCCACAACCCCTTCTGCAGCATGTCAATAGTTGCCAAGTTGCGTGGATTTTGCTAAGAATCTCTTTCAAGCCCTCTCAGACCAAAACAATGCCTGCCTCTGGGACGTCGAAGTTGCTAACGACCAGCCCTTCCATCCGCAGGCGAACGCCAAGCTTGTCGTCATTGAACAATTCTTTGACGAGAATCTCTACCTTGCGCTGAACAGGCCCGTTACTAGCCCTGGGGGCGTCCTGCCATCTCACCGCCAGCTGACTTTTCTAGGGTCTGTCTTGCAGCATCCATGCCCGAACCGCAAGAGCGTCCACTCCAACCCTATCCACTCCGACCGCATCCCTGGGTGATGCAATAGTCTCAAAAATAATTCTTGGCGAACTGTGATAACGTCCACTGCAACCCCATCATAGTTGCCGCACGGACCGTGCCAACGTTCATTCCGATCCCATGCGTTCTCCAAGGGCTCCATATTACATACAGTGGCAGTACTGTACTACACACTCACTACAAAGTCTATTGAAAAAACAACACAACCCAAGCGCTTGCTACGGTGGTTGTCGCTCCTTAAGATTAAGGATACCACGCCTGCCAGTGTTTCTGCCCCACGATGTCCCAAATTACACACGGCAAAATAACGCGCACCGACTACAGCAGCTAGTAGTAGTGGTGGCAGTAGCAGTCGTCGTCGCCGTCGTCGTAGTAGTAGTAGTAGTCGTCGTCGTAGTGGTAGTATAGTAGCAGTAGTAGTAGTAGTAGTAGTAGTTGTTGTTGTTGTTGTTGTTGTAGATGGTAGATGGTGAATAGTAGATAGTAGATAGTAGTTGTAGTAGTAGTTGTAGTAGTAGTAGAAGAAGTAGCAGTAGTAGTAGAAGTAGAAGTAGAAGTAGAAGTAGAAGCAGAAGTAGAAGTAGAAGCAGAAGTAGAAGTAGAAGTAAATGTAGAAGTAGTAGAAGAAGTAGTATAGTAGAAGAAGTAGAAGTAGAAGTAGCAGTAGCAGTAGCAGCAGTAGTAGTAGTAGTAGTAGTAGTAGTAGCCGTAGGCAGTGGCAGCGGCAGCAGCAGGAGCAGGAGCAGCAGTCGTCGTAGTGGTGGTACTAGGAACAAGTAGTAGTTTTGTGTCTACCTTTCTTTAAAAAGTTCGTTCGATCTTTCCTTCCTTGTGCTACTTCAGTCATGTTATCTTTATCGTTGCTTTTCGCCTGGCTGGTGTTGTTTCACGGCCATCCCCTTCGCTTTCTTCCTTCCCTCCCTCCTTCCTAAACAAGATGGGCTTGGGGGCCTAACAGTAACTCGGTCGGAGTGGCAGTGAGGCGATCATCCTCCTGTGACGCACTCGGGCTACCAGAGCTTCCACCCATAGGCGAAGGCTCCCGCGGCACCACTTCGATACCGGATTTGCTTGCTCTCCGGATAGGTGCCTGACCAGTGGTTCAAGATACAAACGCTGACATGTGTGCAACCAAGGCAGGAGCAGAGGAGCGCCTCCAATCGAGTCACATCAATGCGGATGTCGTCCTTGGGCGAGGAGCTGAATTTCTCCAAGAGGTCCTGTGCAAAGCTGAGAGGCAGAGGAAACCGACCCCTGCCGCTGTGGTCCTCCGCAGCGGGCCATACGTCGCCTTTGGGAGAAGCATCCTTGGCAGCGGCCCGTCGGTTCGATGACGTCGACGAAGAAGAGGATCGTTTCATGGCGGACTTGGGAACCTCCAAGTGGCCACTGGCACCTCAAAGGATGACAGCTGCCCCCTGGCAAGTATCCCCCTCAGCTGCCGCCAGCCCACCTGCTTCGGGAACCAAAGTCCCTCGAGGCGCCATCGAGGCCCTTGCCAGCACAGAACATAAAGGGGTCATAAGGGGCCGCCGAGGCCTGCTCGATTGAACCAACTCTCGATGTGTGAGCGGAAGATTTGAAAAGGCAGGTCTGTGCACCGCTGGAGAGTCGGTACTTCCACACCTCCACAAGTCCAGCTGTATTCTGTCACACCCAGGCCATGGAGTCGTAGAGTTTCTTCTCGGGTGGTGGGAGTGGGCTCTCCAAAATCTTAGGGTGTGTCGTGGCGAATGCAAAGAGGGCCGTCCACACAACCTGGAGAAAAGCATCGCATATCATCATCATCATCGTCATCATCATCATCATCAAGCCGGCAGTGTGCGACACATGTCATGTAACCTGAGAACGGACACGGTGTTGTTTTAAAGATGGCTTCCTTTGCAAAGTGTGCGTTTTAGACATCAGCATGTGGCTTCAGTATGTCCAGCTGACAAATTAAAACACAGAAGGCACAAGGACGTAACGCCGCTAGGCACGCAAGGGAAGTCAGAGCTTCTGCCTGCGATTCTTCAACGGCTCGCTGGCATCGCGCCGATGTTCTCGTGCCTGCAAGCTAAGAGAAGAGGATCACCCACTCACCTGTATCAAGACACCAAACCTGATGTTTGAAGAAGCCCTTAACTCCCTACTGCCTATATCCGCAAACCACCCACCCTTGACTCCGTAAGCCCTAATCAGATCCTACTAAAACCCTAAGACTCTGAAGCCAGCTTGCCATGAGCCTTCTTGGCGCTTGCGGCCCGGAGCTTCTCGGCAGCAGCTGCAGCCGCAGCCTTGATTCAGTATGCTATGCCGACACCAGGTGTTGAAACACAGATGCAAAGATGAACGTAGCGACAGAGCGGGACAGAGAGGGGGATAGATAGACAGATGGTCGAGCAAAACACACTTCAGCTGAGTCCCGGACGTCTGGATCCCTTTCAGGGCGAGGATCCTTCTCTGGACGAAGAGGTCCAGTCAACCTGACTCACGGTGCTTCCCAACAGACATGATGGCAAGGACTTGATAAGAACCATGAACCAATACCAGCAAAGACCACCGTCATCATGACCGTAGAGCATCAGAGCTGCAGTAGGAAGAGCAGTGGTAGTAAAAGTAGCAGCAGCTGCAGCAGCAGTTGTAGTACGAGTAGTTGCAAGAGTGGTGATGGTGGTGGCAGTAGTAGTAGTAGTAGTAGTAGTAGTAGTAGTAGTAGTACTAGTAGTACTAGTAGTAGTGTTAGTAGTAGTAGTACTAGTAGTAGTAGTAGTAGTAGTAGTAGTCG